CATACACAACTAAGAATATACAATAAACACTGCTCCTTTTTACCACCATCACTTCATCTCCTGCTTCTGCTCTTCTCTGACTTAAAGGGATAGTTCACCCCAAAATGAAAATTTGATGTTTATCTGCATCCAAGATGTAGGTGACTTTGTTTCTTCGGTAGAACACATTTGATGATTTTTAAGTCCAGCCGTTGCAGTCTATCAGTCGTATAATGCATGGCAATGGTAACAAAATCTATGAGAGTAACTATAAGGCAACACGGTTCAATCTGTTTATGTTACATTGTTTTGATGAATGAACAAGCACTTTCTTGAAAAGTAGATGTTTTCTCCTGTTGATGTATGATTCAAGAAATATTCTGTTTAATGATATACAGTAGCATGCTAATGTAAGTGTTGAGGCGATAAAAATATGTTTTGCACCCAAAATACAATGTGTTTTATGTCTTTAGCAAGCATTTAACTAACCCCTCTTTACACAAACGTTGTTACAGCAGCTAAAAGTCAAATGCCTATTAATTAAGATACTTAATGTTTAGGAAATAATTATAAGCATTTACAAAGGATGAATAGTTTAAACTATAGAGTGGATACTGCAAAAACATGAACAAATAGTTAATAAATGATTTGTTAAGATGTGTAAACAGTAGAAGTCTACACAACAAAGACCAAATATATGACCTTTACAGACTGTGATAATGATTTAATGAATAATATGTTAACATGCAGAGTTTGTGAAGTGCTTAAAATTACTAATTAAGCTATTTTTTCACAACATTTGTAAAAGTGAAAAAAAGAGCATTAGGTAATATGTGAAATTAAGTTTAATGTCATCTGTTAGCAAAAGTACATTAACAAATAAGCGTTTAATCACTGTATAGCATCTGTTAAAATCATTTGTAGATTTTTTAAAAGTGCAAGATCGTATGAATTGAAAGTTTAATAACATTTGTAAGCATTAAATAATGATCCGTTAGGCATTATATAATGGTTGTTAATGATTTATTAATGAAGCTTTTAATCATTGTAAACCATCTGTCAAAATTATTTGAAGATTATTTGAAGTGCATGGTCATATGCACTGAAAGTGTAATGACATTCATAAGCATTTTAATTTACATTAAATAATGATCTGTTAATCATTATGTTTCATAAGTTCATTAGTAAACATTAACAAGCACATTCTCATATTTCTAGCTATGTGAAAATATATTAACCAATAATATGTTAAGCAATATATAATGTTTATTAAAATAATTAATTAATTTAATTAATGAAAATTAATGAAAGTTCTTATAAAGTGTTACCTAATGTTGATATGGCAACTAGTCCAGGTCCAGCAGAAACCATAGAAAAACAGTATACAATACTAAAACTAATATTAAATATGCAATGAGTTAAGACAACGTAATAGATTAAATTAAAATAACTTAATAATTATAAAAAGGACTATAAGCCTATAAACACAGCGACAACAAAAGAACATAATAAACCAGAGTAGCATTGTGACAATAGCAGCACAGCAGGAGGAGGTAAAACAAGGGAAGAGACAAAGGTAAAGATCATTCAATGAGGCAGGGAATTCATGAGTCTTACAGCCTCTGGGAAGAAGCTGCATTCAAGCCTCGTTGTTCTGGATTTAATGCTTCTTATCCTCCTGAACAGTTCATATGCTGGGTGCCTCAATCATGAGTCACTGAGTCTTTTTTAATAATGCTCTTGTTTAGTAGTGATGATTTACCTGCTGGACAAAACTTATGTAAAGACCCACAATACTCTGAATCACTGAGAGCTCCAGCCAAATCTAGACCGCAAAACATTATGAAATGTGGACATATTTTCTCCAGACAATGTGAAATCTGTATATTATATTACGTTTCCTTAATACATCATATTATTAGTCTCTAAAACTGATACACTGTGTCATTGTGTTGTTTGTCATCCTCCCATCAGCAGCTGCAGTATCTCTCAGCTTTATCAGTGCAGTCACTGTGACTCTGACTGACGGAGGTTTTTGT